AGAACATGACTCTACCTTATTTGAAGTATGCCACTTTCTCCTGTCTTCATGTTTTTTTCTTTATTTCTCTCTTTCCAAATTTATTACAGACGTCAACAATAACTTTACAACTGTCCCTCTCCTTTTTCTGCTTCAATGCCCCCTTCTACTCCGGGAGCTTCTATTTACACATCCCCCTTCCCCTCTTTGCACACACTTCATAAAAATTATTTTTATTATAAAAAAATTTTCAAGTGAAATTACTATTATGGACATCAAATAAACACATTCGAAAGTTGAATGTTGAAAAAATGATAAAAATTCAAAAGTCTACTTTCGAACCAATTGTTTATTTTCGGAAAGCTACTTCCAAACCATTTGCTGATTTTCGGAATGCTACTTCCGAACCAATTATTTATTGAAAAAGATGTGTATAGAGTGTGATGGGTGTGTGCAAATAGAAGCTCCCTCCAACTCCCTTTTCCTGCCATTGCATTCTCCAAACTGCCCCGTGCTCTCATAGAAAAAACAAAAGAAAAATAAATCAAACCAAATCAAAAGCAAGCCTTCTGTCCCAATCAAGTAGGGTCAGCTACATGAATATTTTTTTGCTATATGCTCCCTTAAATTAAGGGTTTAATTACACTAATGCCTTATTTGGGAACATGAATATTGTAGTAACTTTTTGATTTTTTGGCTAAAATATGAGTTTTGGGTTTTTTACGAAAAGATGTGTAAAAAATTCCTACCAACATAAAGAGGTCTTTGCTTTATTGATGGAACATAAGACATCTTCTCACATACTTATAGCTATTGTTTAAGAAGAACGGCTGTTGCCAATCATCAAATGTATGTGCTGAGATTGGCAATTCTGATAATTGTGATGGTAGCATGTCACTGTATGGAATGTTTGTACTCTGTCAATCACGTGCATGGCATCTGTGGGTTTGTTTGCTTGTTATTTTCCTTTCACGGGGTTGTGGGCTTTGCTTCAAATCTTACAGGATCTAGCCGTTGAAATTGTTTCTTTCCAGAACATGACGCTTGAAATATGAAGTCTTAGAGAAACCATTTTTTTCTTTGGGGCCTAAAATTTAATTTATTATTTTTTCTCCGAAATTAAGTTTGGGTAAAATTTATTGTCTAGGGTTTATGTTTGGACAAATTGGTTGCCTGATTTTAGAATTTGGTTCGTGCGAAATCTATGTTTGACCTGAGTCAAAATCAAATAAGACTGTTTACTTTTCTATTTGGTGCAACTTATTGTAGGCTAAAAGTTGACAATCAGAAAGCAGAAACTAAAAGCATCTCTCCCCTACCTTTCAAATAATAAACTTTTTTCAGCTTATTTAGATTTCGTTTGGCAAGTGTGTTGGCTTTTTGGCTTTTTGACTTTTTTGACTATTTTAGTCTGAGGCTAAAAAGCCTCATTTGGGAAGGGCTTTTGACTTTTTTATGAGAGAAAGAATATAATGATTATGGGTTGGATGTGATGTTTTGTTTTTTGTGGCTAGAAAGCCTATTTTGTTTTTTATGACTATTTTAGCCAAAAAAACCCAAAGTTTGGCTTCCCAAATGAAGCCTTAAGCTATTTCTGCCTAATAAGCCGTAAGTAGAAACTGCACCAAACAGTCTGGTACAAACTCCCAAATTAAAATAAGCTATAAGCACGTCATTTAAGTTGTAACAAACACCTTCATTATCTCTTAGCTGCATTTCGAGCTTCTATGACATGTAATAGAAAGTATGGATTAGCTGCTGGAAGCCTGTGACATGTGATTCTGGACAGATTGGAAAACTTGGTTTATAAAGCATATAAGTGGATTATTTTGGTAGAGTTTGTGATGGGGATAGAGAAGGAATTGGAAGAAAGTATGGAAGATTAGGAGTTCAATTTGTTTACGAATTTCAATTTATTTAGGAGATTTTGCTTCATTAAGATTTAAGATTTTAATTATTATTATATGTTTCCTTATCTTTTTTTATTTTTCTAATCAGATAGTGCTTGCATAGGAATATATAAAAGGCTTTGTGTATATTGAATTTATCAGATTTGTTTGGATATTGATTAATTGATATTAATTGGGATTGATCCCCGTTTATCTCCTTCCTCCTTGTTCTTCCTCTTCTTCCTCTTCTATCTGTCCTCTTCTTTTTTCTCTTCTCCTTCTCTTGCTACAGCAATTTTGATATCAAAACTAAAATAGATCCACCGATTCTGAATCAAATCGGCATGGTTGCCTCTTCAATCTTCACAGGACCTCGACAATTTGATTTAAGAAAAAATTGTGGTGATTTTTTCCCCTCAAAAGAATGCGGTGTTCAATCTACAATTAGATCATGATCAATTTCTAGTCTGGCAGAAGACTGATGTTACATTAAATGGGTTAGACAACTTGTACAGAATGTGGATATTATCCTTTTGTCTTTGATGAGTGAAGTACGGCTTAATTTATTCATACTGTTATTTTGAAAGTATGGATAAGTTAGTATACTTACTGTTTCTTTTGATTTCCTAGGTTTTTGATGTATTTGATGAAAGGAAAAATGGTGTCATCGAATTTGATGAATTTGTCCATGCACTCAACGTCTTCCATCCCTATGCTCCCACAGAAGACAAAATAGACTGTAAGGGGTCAGATGCAATCTTTTTATTCTTATTATCAAAACAAATCTCATGAACTTAACCTGTTGGTGTTACCTTCGTGATGCCCTGCAGTAGCATTTAAGCTTTATGATTTGAGGCAAACTGGGTTTATTGAGCGAGAAGAAGTAAGTATTCTGCACCGTAAACTTAGCAATTGTTGCTACAACTAATGTTAAAACAAATACATGCTCTGAGAAACATAGACAGTTAATACACTAATTGTGTTTGGCGGTTTTTGAACCTTTTGAACCCAGTATTAAGGTGGCTTGCAAGTTGCAAGCTTTTGAATCAAATTGGTGCTACATAAGTTGTAGTTTCTGTATTTTGTAGATCTCTCTCTCGCTCTCTCTCTCACACACACACATGCGTACACACGTACATGCACGCACACACATACACACACATGCATTGTAAAACATGTCACATTACTCTTCCCTTTTGTGCTTATATTTATGGGCATGCATATGACCATAAATGTTTGACTCTCGTACATAAAACATTCATAATAACCAATGGCTGCCTCAATTTATCAGGATCTTGGGGACCTTGAGAACAAGAATGATTTGATGGCCAATTCTTTGCTCCATAATTTTTAATATATTGGGACATAAGGTTTAGTTTGGTTTGTTTTATACTTTAAATTTACTACTATTGACAAATGTGTGAATGACTAGATGAATATAATCTTTTTTATTGAAGTAAGTTTGCATTTGTTATCATGCTATCGCTAAGGCAGTCAACTGGTCATGTTGTTTGTTTGCTGCTTTCCTGTCATTTGTGGGTTGAGGCCAGAAGATCAAACCTTTAAAGTTTAGTTAGTCATGTTTCTATGATTTGGGTAATATTTGAAAGGCTTGGAACTTTTCAAATATATATATATATATTTCGAAGGCCTTGGATTCATTCAATTTAGTGCAAAACAGAATTTAGCCCTTTATCTGGAGGTATATGTGTATGTATGTATTCATTGAAAGACAAAAAGAAAAGAGAAGTGATATCAGGAAAAATAGTTGAATGCTGGCCTTTCTTAGATCTTTTTATTTCTACAGCTTGTTTAAAGATGCCCTTTTCCTTTTGCATTTTCATTTGTTGAAATTTCATGGTCTGTGACCTTTTTTTATCATACTAAACTGTGCACATTCCTTAAATTTCATTCATGAATTACGAGTAAAACAGCAATTGCTTTCAGGTGAAGCAAATGGTGATTGCAATTATGATGGAATCTGACGTGAAGCTAACTGATGAATTTGTTGAGGCTATTATCGACAAGGTGAGAGTTTCTCCAATTTGAAATGTTTTCCCTTCGAATTATTGCATACTTTATGGAGCAGATTATAATCACGGAATTAATTATACCACAGACGTTTGCTGATGCTGATGCTGACAAGGATGGTAAAATCAATAAAGAAGAATGGAAGGCTTTTGTTCTTCGAAACCCCGCCCTCTTAAAGAACATGACTCTACCTTATTTGAAGTATGCCACTTTCTCCTGTCTTCATGTTTTTTTCTTTATTTCTCTCTTTCCAAATTTATTACAGACGTCAACAATAACTTTACAACTGTCCCTCTCCTTTTTCTGCTTCAATGCCCCCTTCTACTCCGGGAGCTTCTATTTACACATCCCCCTTCCCCTCTTTGCACACACTTCATAAAAATTATTTTTATTATAAAAAAATTTTCAAGTGAAATTACTATTATGGACATCAAATAAACACATTCGAAAGTTGAATGTTGAAAAAATGATAAAAATTCAAAAGTCTACTTTCGAACCAATTGTTTATTTTCGGAAAGCTACTTCCAAACCATTTGCTGATTTTCGGAATGCTACTTCCGAACCAATTATTTATTGAAAAAGATGTGTATAGAGTGTGATGGGTGTGTGCAAATAGAAGCTCCCTCCAACTCCCTTTTCCTGCCATTGCATTCTCCAAACTGCCCCGTGCTCTCATAGAAAAAACAAAAGAAAAATAAATCAAACCAAATCAAAAGCAAGCCTTCTGTCCCAATCAAGTAGGGTCGGCTACATGAATATTTTTTTGCTATATGCTCCCTTAAATTAAGGGTTTAATTACACTAATGCCTTATTTGGGAACATGAATATTGTAGTAACTTTTTGATTTTTTGGCTAAAATATGAGTTTTGGGTTTTTTACGAAAAGATGTGTAAAAAATAAAGAAAAAATGAAATCTTTGACTTTTTGGTATAGGTTGTTGGCTCTTTAGTTTTTTTAGTGACTTTTTGACTTTTAGGCTAAAATATTGAGTTGCTAAATGAGGCCTAATTCTCTATTTGGTTCATTAGAATGAAAATGAAAATGATGACTCCTTAGACTTTCCTATGGAATGACCATTTCCTTAAAATGATCAAAGATGAATTCATTTGTAATGCATTTTTTATTAATTTTTTAAGCTAACCAAACATAGGAATGAATATTTTTGATGGAATGATCATTTCATTCTACTTAATTCCGGTGAACCAAACACTACCTAAGACTCCCTAAAGCATTTGTGAATATCATCTTTCCCCATCATCTACGAATCCGTGCATTTTGACCTCTCTCAACTATAAAAACGCATCACTTTCACCCTATTTTGTGCCTCCCCACAAGGGGGCCTTTGTATGGTTTTCGGAGTTGAGGGGTCAACCATGCCATAGCTATTTTTCCTTATTCATTACCAGTGGATACAATTTGTAAATTTGAATTCCATTTTGGTATACTCTGCTTCCAAAATTGGAGGTTCTGCTTGTTACCAGCATCTATTTGACAGAATGAACTGAGGCAGTTTCCTCGACACTAAAAACACATTCAAAGTAATTCAACTCACCTTTGTTTATGATTTGATCATCCTCCAGGGACATCAGTACCGTATTTCCAAGTTTTATTTTCAACACTGAGGTTGAAGACTGAGATGCTGAAGTGCTTCTTTCCATATACGGAACCATTGCTGAATCTTCAAGTCCATACTCCAGAGTTCAAGCTCTCATTATTGTCAGATTTAGCTTTCCAAATGGCTTTTGTTGATGTCAGTAATTCTTGGAGTATTGCCGAAGATGGTGAAGGTGCTGCCTATTCAAGCAAGTCTCGAGCAGCTGCATCGCCTGATTGTTCATTTGTTCATTTTTGCATAAATCCAGTTAGAAGCTATTGTATTGTAGGTCATTTAAGAATTTGTAAAATTATTCTTTCTGTTGTCAATATGTAACCGAAGTTGGAAATTCCATTGAATCAAGTTATTGTCTATGCAACCCAAATACACTCTTCTTGTCTGAATTTTCTTGAATCAGGGCTCTGAACAAACCTTAATGCCATCAGCAGACTTTCTGGAGCCACTTTTTTCTTCAACTGATCAAATGCGCCAGCTCTAAATGTATCAGCACAAACTAGAGCCGGTTTCCAGCCTTTCTTTTGATGATAATGAGCATATTTGGTAGGTGTTGTGGTTTTACCAGACCCTGAGATTGTAAACATCAATTAGTGGAGGCATAGGCCAAACCTACCAATATAAAATGCAGACTGCAGCTAAATCAAAATAGGATACAGAAATTGACATTACCTTGTAAAATGATGCTAGTTTTCCTTTTTCCACAAGTGAAAGATGGCTTTCCAGGATCCAACATTCTGCATAGCTCTCGAAAAACAGTCTGTAGGTAAAGTAGAGCCACTCTTAGACTAGTGTAACAGCATAACAACAATAAAGCAAGGGCTGATTATTAAGCATAGACATATAATTATGTTTTAGCAAAGAGGCATGAGTTTTAACAAACAATAGAACTGGAAAACTAAGAAGCCACTTCTCATGGTCTGATTAACTAAATCCATAACAAATAGAAGTGACCTATATGGTGGAGACAATAAGTTGCTGGAAGCTGTGAAATCTATTCTTCAAGTTATGAGGTTCCAAGAAAGAAAAGCTTTACAGGATTTGAGCAAGATAACTTTCTTATCATGTTTCTTTACACAAGGCAATTCTGTTTTTTTAGTAGATTTCATTTTAGAAATTGGTTTAGAGCTACATTTGTTTGTCAAAAAAACTACAAAGATGTAACTGCAACCAGTAATCTTATGATTGAAATGGAAGAGTTGTCATGAACATGAACGAACTTTTCTATTAATGTATTTATGCCTCGAATACTATACCCAGAATGACTTATACGGTACGGCTTCCACACAATGGATGATTTTGTAATTTAATTTCAGGCAAATTGTTTGATCCAAAACTTGCATTACAGTCTCCAGATAAAATAAAATAAACCTAGGCAGAGCATTTCTCCAAGTGGGCACCCTGAGCACTTTTCCAGATTCTTCTTGACTACACCTTGTCTCCACGCTTAAACTCTTCAGGCATCTCCATCACTTCTCCAACCAGGCACCTTGCGCCTCATGCTATCCGCAGATTCGAGACTCGTTCATAATCTTTACATTAGAACTATCCAACTCTGAATTAGACAAGCACAAAAAAAAAAAAGTGACTCCAAAAATTGAGCACTGTCATTTCTGCTAAAACCAAGAGCAAGGGGATGAATTCAATCACAGGGGGAAATTAATTTGCTTGCCTTCACTTTGTCATGGAATGCATGATGATGATTCTTTGCTTAATCTTTGTCAGGTTTGATTCTTCATGGCCTTTCAGCAATGACTCTGGCATGCCCCCCTAACAGCAATTGAAGTACATGATGATTCTATGCAAATAAAAAGACGGAACAAATCACGAAATTGAGTAGTTATACAGAGGTAATTTGGGTATGAAAAATGTGTGGCATAACTTCGTCAAGTGAGCTCCGTATAGTAGAATATATATATATATATGTATACTAGTTGGACCACCACGCGCTTCGCGCGTGGGGGTCACGCCATCATTGGCCAGGAATAAAGTCATATCATCCTATCATTAGCTAAGAATAATAGATCGAGGCAAAGAAATGACAAATTGTTATTAAATTCTATAAATTTTATTGTATGAATTGGAAGTACAAGCAAAACCCTAAACCCTAAGCAAATTCCAAAGTTTTCGATGGAAGAAGAGTTCTGGGGGTCGCATTGTAGTTGGAGTGCTTATTTTTTGTATTTATTTGCTAAACTTGTAAGGGCCCTATCATCATATTTTCCATCTTTTCCTCTAGCTCTTCAGCAAAGAACAACATGCCAGTTGGGCCTATCACATATTGGACCATTATTAACATCCGAAAAGGAAATGCAAGCATGTAGGATATAAGGTGAAGGATACATAGTGAGCCATGCACACACAAAGACAAACATGCAGTTGCTTTTCAGACCATATTGCCACAGAAATAAATTAATAACACCTCCCTCTATCACCCACTAAAGGCGAATTGATTATCGCACAAGATTCCAGGATGAATTTTTTTATGGTATCTCAAAATAATTCCAACAGTGACATATATTATAAAACAGTGAATGCTTGATAGCTAGCTACATCCATATGCATGACATAACATGTTGTGTGCAAGTCTATGGAATTCACATATATGACAACCAAAGTTAAAACTACTTTATTTGTCTTTGTAATGCACAATAACTGATATATTGGTATTCCAAGGCATGGCACACTACAAAGTGAATGGGAAGGAAACACTATTTTCTCTGTATTGCAATATAAACCAAAATTTACAATTTTCTTTCCGTTGATCAATGTAAGAAAAAATTTACACACAACAATGCAAGAAAGCAAGCACTATAGTATCAATATTTTGACATTATGTTGTCAATAAGCAACAAAATGAATGAAAGTTACCTGTTGTAGATACTCTTCCACGATTGTTGCCTCAGTAGGGAAAACATCTTCAAAAGTCATCTTGAAGAAGAAAGTTAAAAAATGAGAGGATGGATAAAAAATAAATAAATAAACAATACTAAGTGAAAAATAAAAAATAAAAAATAAAAAAAAGAAGTAAAAAAAGAGGACAAAATTATGGAAATCCATGGTACGATTAGATTCACTTGATTCAGAATTTCAACTTAACAAAACTATTGAATTACTCTAAGATAAATATCATAAGTAGCAGTCAATGAGAAGAACAAATTATGCATCAAGTTGAAGATATGAAAGAATTACCTTTAATTCAAAAGATTTAAGATCCCAAGCAAATTGCTCTGCATTTATTCCTTCATGGGCTAATAGCCTGCATATAAATTAGAAAAAACAAATAATAGAAAAAAACTTCAGAAGTATGGAAGATATCAAACTATTGACAATCATCAATCAAACATTCTCAAATAGTTGATTCTTGAGAAAAACGAAAAAAGAGGTCATTGCAAACCCAAATTGGAAAAGAGGATGAGATATCCTCTGCAGTTATTAAATAAACCATGGAATCTCAAAACAATCATTGCAAACCCAATTTGTTACAAACTTCCAAGTTCCAACTTCTCATATCCTTTCCTGTATTTTCTCATCATCCAAACTGATAAATTATCATTGCTTCAAAGTCATCTTGAGAAACTTGTGCACGGACTTGAGTGTCAGTGTTTGTGTATGTTTAAATGTCCACATATGCATAATAAGTGTACACATCTGTATGTATTTTAATAATGCATAAAATTGATGTGTGTAACAGAGAGATAGATAAGTACATAGTGGTAACAATAGGTTAAGTAAGAGCTTAACTTTTTAGGGTTTCCGCCTTTAGCTTTTTCGATAATGCCTCCAATTGATCTAAGTTCCTCTAAAGAACCAAAGAAACAGAAACTATGATTTCAGGCAAAAACAATGATAAATTCATGAATGCAAATCAGCTCACAAAGAAAAAAGCCATCTTTGCAGCCCATAAAAATTCAAGAACACAAAAACAATAATATAGTCTAATTTAAAACACTTAATTTTCCTTTGCAAGACCTAAGCTACAGTCCTGCCAAATGTTTGCTCTTGACTCTGTTTTCACCAATCTGCTGCACATAAGAAATGTTTTTTTCAAGTTGCCTTTCTGATTTCGTGGCCTTATTTTATTAATGCTGTGCCGGTTTTTTTTTTTTTTTTTTTTGTTATTTTTTTTGTATATTAAGCTTACTTTCCTGGTTTTTTTTTTTTCTTCCCTGCTGTTTGGCTATGCCATTTCTTGTTTGTTTTCTGGTTTGTTTTTTCAATTAATTTAAGGAAGTTGCTGATTTGATTCTCTTTTCTTTGTGTGTGTGTTCTTTGTATATTTGTTTTCTTTTTTGCCATTTCTTGTTTGTCGAGTTTTTTTTTTTTCAAGTTGGTTTAGGCATATTATCAAACACATGGTGAACAATATATGGAAGGCAAAACATCTCAGTCTCTTAGTCAAAGATATTTGCAAACACATGGTGGATAAAGCATCTCATACGAAAAAAAAAAAAATAGAGTATCAATAAAATAAGGCCATGGAATCTCATAAAAAAAACAACACAACATCAATAAAATAAGGCCATGAATGCATAACAACATTAAATACAAGTAGGCGTAAGACAGGAACACCCACAGAGAGAGAGAGACAGAGAAGATGAACATATCGGTTATTTTGTTTGCTATAGATACAAATAGGACCGACATCAGCAGCAAAAAGTATCTATATAATCCTATTTCTCCTTATCAGTTCACAGTCGGTTTGTTTTTGCTGTCTTTTGCTTTCCCAAGAGGTAGAATCAAGCAGGTGACTCATCATCATCAAACAGCTGAATCATTCTGAGTACCATCCTCAGCAGGCGAAATGGAGGACCGAAAAAAAAAAACAAACCAGACCGACTCACCGAAGCATCAACAATCGAGCTGTTAAGCAACTGATGTATTATTGATTTATGTGTATTGATTTGATATATCTGTATATTACAATTCCTATATATATAGAGGAGAAGATGGTAGTAGGTTTAGGTGGTAGTGGAGGTGGTAGGTGGAGTGAGTGGTAGTGGAGGTGGTAGGTGGGTGGTAGTTTACATTTTACAATTTACATTTTACATTAACAAGGACAAATGAGGGACTTCAAGGCGTTAGATTCAAAAGGAGCTGCCTGCTTCCCTTCTTTTATATATGGGCAACAGAGGAGAGATTGCCATTATCTATTAGGATAAAGGGCAAAAAGAAGAATTTGATGCGTTAGATTCAACCTGCTTGCTTTCACTCTTTTATATATAGGTTATAGATTAGCATGGGTGAGTTGTAATAGAAAAGCTGTGGAAAGAAAATAGGCAAGTAGTAAGAGCGCCGATCTTGGAACTTTCAAGAATGGTGGTGAAATTTGTTTGCCTTCTTCTTCTGTTGTGTATGTGGATGATTTGAAGCCCCACGTGTGTAGCCCAAAATCTGCAAGGAAAGAGTAAGAAACCAAGTAAACAGGAGTGTTATATCACTGCAAGCAGCAGTGTTATACCACTCTTACACACTTTTAACATATGTTATAGATATGTGCAAATACATTTAGCCATGAAAAAAAAAAATTTATTTTAATCACAAAATATAAAATAAATTATTTTAGTCACAATAAATAAAATATCACATTTAATTTATAATTATTACATTCTTCTCTTACAAAAAAAATTAAAAAAATTAAAAAATTCTTTCCAAATCAAACTTTTTAACTCAAACTAAAATAATTAAAAAAGTCAAAAAACCAGCCAATTTCTCAAACGGAGGCTTAATCATTTAGATATACACAAATACATAGGCATTGTGTTAATGTGTGATCCCATGCATTAATGTGTAGACAGATTATGGGATTGAGCAAATCAAACAACGGAGTTTTTAAAAAAAAAAATTAAAAAACTGATGAATCTAACGGAATCTTTTTAAATAATAGCTATTCTAGAGTTAGAGTTAGCCTTTTTGTGTTTGGCCAAACGGACTCTTTAAAATAAATTAAATACTCATGTCAAACGCTCGGTAGTTGAATAAAGGTATGTGATATATGTTAGATACTTTTTATCATACACTTATTATATATTTGTATTTAACACTATTATTATATGTACATATTGTTATATAATTGCTAAAAATATCTTTTTGACCCAACATATTACATATAACACTATTTTATCTCACATAATAGATTAAAAATATAAAAATATAACATTTATTTGCCTAGTCCACATCCCCTTAAATTTAAAATTCAATAAGTCCAACCACTATATATACACTCACATCTGACACTTTGTATCCCACGTTCATGTAACGTACATAGTTGGTAACAGTTAATTATTTTCAGATTTTTTTTTTCTTTTTAACTTTTCAAGTCCTTCTACTCTAAATATTGATAGATCTAAAAAATACAAAAAATTATTTTTACAAACCCTGTTTTTGGTCTTTAGTGGATTTTTTCTCTTTATGTTTTTAAAAAAATTAAGGCCGTGTTTGGGAAGGCAGTTTGAGGCTAAATTAACCACATACCGACAAAAATAACTAATTCAGCCATATAGAGACAAAAGCATGGTAGGAGCATGGCAACAACCATTTCACAGGTAAATTTACGAAACTACCCCCACATGAAAGAGGGGCTAATTTAGCCTTAGCGTCAGAAATATTCAAAGTAAAAAAAAAAAACCTTTTTCCCAAAAAACATCTTTTCCCAGAAAAAACAAAGAAAGTTGAAAAAAAAAAAGAGTTGTGAAAGTAGTATGAAATTTCGCGTTATGTGTTTGGTTATGAGTTTTAAAAATAATTTATTAATTGAGTTTTATTTTATGTGTTTGGTTACGATTTGAGTGTAGAGTTGTTTTTAAATTTAAAATATTAACATTTTAAATTCTTTAAAATTTTTGAATATTTAAATTATTTAAATTTTTTTGTTAAAATAATTTTTTGAATATTTAAATTATTTAAATTTTTACGATTTAAATTTTTTGAATATTTATTTTAAATTTTTGCTTATTAAATTATTTACATTATTTAAATATTTAAAATAAAATTAAAATAAAAATAATAAATTAAATTAAATTAAATTAAATTAAAATTGAAATTAAAATTAAATATTTAAAATTAAATTATTTAAAATACACAGGACAATAAAATAAAACCTCAATTTTTCATTTCACAGAAAATGAAAAAAAATAAAAATAAAAATAAAAAACACATGAAAAAACCATTTGCAAAAACAAAAAATTAAAATACATAAATTATTTTAAAAAAATACGCCTCATTCAAAAATATTTAAAAATATTTAAAAAATTACAAAATGTAAATTCAAAAAAAAAAAAGAACGACAAAAATACGCCTCATCTAAAAAGATTAAAAAAAAAACAGAAATTACCATTTGCCATGTAATTTACAAATAAATAAAACACATGAAAACCCATTTTTGAAATATAAAAACAAATTAATGTGTACGAATTAAAAAATGTCAAAACGTAAATTAAAAAAAATAACGAGAAAAATACGCCTCGTTAAAAAATATTTAAAAAAAAACATAAAAACATAAATTACCATTCGCGATGTAATTTAGAAATAAATAAAACACATGAAAACTCATTTTTGAAAAATAAAAAAAAATTTATTGTATACCAATAAAAATAAAAAAGAAAAAAAACATAAATTAAAGAACAAGAACTAATTAATGTATAAAAAAAGAAAAATGACAAAAAAATAAATTTAAAAAAAAAACATCAAACATTTTTGAAAAATTAAAAAAAAAGTTATCGTATACCAATAAAAATAAAAAAAGGTAAAAAAAATACGCCAAATCCAAACCCAAAATAAAAAAATTAAGCAAAATACGCCAAATCCAAATCCAAAATAAAAAAATTAAAAAAAAATTAAAGAAAAATACGCCAAATCCAAACCGGAAAAAAAAAAAAATTCAAACAATTTCGGTCCTGTACATGGCGCTGACGTGGAAGACCATTTGAGTGTGAGTTGCCATGAGAATCACGTGTCAAGGGCAATTTGGTAATTTATCATAAAGTCACCTCACCAAAAAGTCAAAAAGTCATTCCCAAATCAAATTTTTTAGTTCCAAATTAAAATAATTAAAAAAATTAAAAAATTAAAAAACTAATCCACTTACCAAACGGAGGCTAAGTAGGATATAAAAGTGAAAAAAAAAATTGCTCGAAAAGCAATTGCCAAACATGTACATATGGAAAAGTGTGTATACTGATAAAAAAGCAATTGCCAAATAAGAAAATTGCTCAACCATGAGCTTGTGGCACAGTAGTTTGTCCATTGCTGGGTAAGGCTCTGTGATTTGATTGGGTTTGCTCACCAGTTCGTCTCGGGGAAGCTACAACATGTCGTGGCTAGCGATAGGCTTCCATTAGAAGCGGGAATTTGGAGATGCCCGTTAAACTAGCCCGAACACCCATGGAAAACCCAAAAAAAAAAAATGCTAAAAAATTGTGTATACATGCACATGTACATAAAGAATATAAATAAGCCCCAGTTTCAAAGTGACAGACAATTTCGTATGATTTTTTTAGTTAAAAAATTAAAAAGTCATTAAAAAAATTAAAAAGTCAATAACTTATATTAAAAAGTCAAAGATTTTGTTTTTTTCTATTTTTTATACATCTTTTCGTAAAAAGTTAAAAAGTCATCCCAAACATACTAATTTTTTTAACTCATATTTTAGCCAAATAGTTAAAAAAGTTACTAAATTAACCTG